GTCCTTGGATTTAGTGTTCCAACCTGCAATGTTCCATGAGAGGATAGACAGAGATTTAAGAGCATCCAAATGTCTATCTGAGTTCCCAGGTGTGACCATTATTAAAGGCAAATCCTGAGAGATGGTAGAAACATGAGTTGCTTCATGATGATTATGGGAGAATTTGTCTTGTATAGATCTCCTGAAAACAGAATATTCTGAATGAGGTGGTTGGCTAAAGAATGAGGATGGAGACAGTCAATTTGTTTTTGGAGCTGGGACTATTTTATCAATCCTTCCCATGTAGACACAGTTATTATAAGATTCAACTTTTCTCAGCATGGGTTGTGATTTTTGCTCTCCTTTGTCTTGGGAGCCAGTATTCCACAGATTTTGATCTGATACTAGGGTTTCTGCAAATGGTAGCGGGCTCAGTCCATCCCTCTCATTTTCTAATTGCTGTACTTGAAAGTGACTAATGTCAAGTTGGTGGCTATTTTCAGGAAATTGCTCCGATTCAGAGTTTCCCTTAATGGTGTTGACTTGTATTGATATAGAATGACAAGATATAAATGGAGTACCCCCTTGCTGAGTGGAATCAGAATTAGGATCCACACTAAGTTCAATGGGATAAAGCGACTCTTGAGATTGCTCTATCTGGTTCTCCAGTGCCAGTGATATTAAGTCACCAGCTACAGTTTTATCCTCTGAATGGTTAATTAGAACTTGTGCTGTAATATCCTGCTGAGTGTCCTTTTCCTTTTTATCTTTTTGCTTTGGACTGGCACGCCTTCTTTCTCTCTCTCTCTCTTTTTTTTGGAGATTTTATGCTGTGAAACCAGACTTAGTAACATTTCCACAGAGGAGTAGCTAGAGGGGAGCAGGGTGTTAAGAGTTTCTGTCACATTAGTATCTGATTTCAACATTGATCTTACTATTTCAATTTTATTTAAAATCAGTTGTTCTCCTGATGAATTAATACTTCTTCATCGTCCAAAAATTGTATCTTTCCATTAAGTGAATCTGGGATCTCTTTTTCATTATCCTTATCTTCTTCTGTCCTTGTTAATAGAGGAGTTCTTTGCTTTACTGATAGGGAACAGTTACATTTAGAGTTTTCAAGGTTCATGTCATCCTCCCTCTCTGACTTGGCTCTCCGCCCAGGCTTTAGCAGAGACTGAGTTTGGGTGTTATAAAACACACATATTGGCCGGATATGATATTTCCTTAAAGAATTTTCAAGCCTAAAAAGCATCAATGGGAGAATAATCTGTCCAAAAGTTAACAATATTCTTTTACATCCATGCCTACTGGGGAGCCAAGAAATCTCGATTAATTCATTAGAATATACCCCACAATGTAAGAGTTGGGAGAGAGAGTTCAGTATTACTTGTCTGTTATGCCACCTGCCCCTATTTAAAGGTGTATCGGCAACTTGGATTAAAATCCTATGTCTCTGCAAAACTAGCCTCTCTTCCATATCTTCTCCTTCTGAGAACCCCCATGCCACTCGTGCTGTCCATGGATTAGGGGTAATTTTTGAAGCATGGGAGTTGCTATTAGCTTTCTTATCTAATTTGGAGATATAATTTCCTGTTAGAGCCTTTAGTTTGTCTATCTGTTTATTGGCTTCCAAGATCTGGTCATATATAGCAATGACTGTTTGGGCTGTTAAAAGACAGTTCTTGGCAACCAAGTCCAAGTCTCCTTTAATGTTGCTCTTAGTATTAACCATGTCCTCCCCTCTATCTCCTGTTAAAGTCTCATTTTCAACAGAAAGACAATCATCCACGTCCTAGTCCAATGAGGAATAAGAATTATTAACGGAGGTTACAAGGGGAGAAGAAAAAAGGGAAGGAGACTTACTTGCAGTGTCCATTGGCTGGAATAAATCCTTTATCTTTGATTGCCTCAAAGTCATTGCAGCCTTGTCTTGTTTAGGATTTCCTCTCGGCTGTGTCTCCAATTTGTGCCTCCTTTTAAACGTTCTTTTCAAGTTCTTTTTTGTTTTTGTTTTCTGATTTTGCATCCTTGGGTGGTATTCAGGGTTGTAAATCCTACTCTCACTTCATCAGCAGATGTCTGAAGCTGATGGGTTCCAGAGTCCAAAATCTAAAATCCTAAAATTACTAATCCTAATAAAAGAAACTAAAATTACTAAGATCACTAATTGATATTAAGTAAAATGAACTATCTTAAAACTACACATAAAGGGTAAATAAAATAAGAGGATTAGGAGCTCACTAAAAAGCTGTCACTTGGTGGCCATCTTGCTCTGCCCCCTACTTTTAATCAAGATAGCTAATTTCACAGTATCTTTTACTGTAAATGTCAACTGCCAGCTTTAAATTAATGAGGATCCATTAGTAGACATTCCTGCTTTATAAAATGATCTCACGGGCTATATATATATTAAAAATAAGAGTGGTTTTGTTTTCTGTGCTAATAGGAAGCAATACCGATAATCTGCTACGAGCACAAGCCTTTTTAAAATATGAAATATATGATTTGTTTTCTCTAGAAATTACATGCAGCCCTCCAAGAATATCTAATGGTTCCTTCCGACCTCAAAGAACTACATATCAAGATGGGGATCTAATTCGAATTCAGTGTGACCATGGATTTAATTTTGAAGCAGATAATGCAGAAAAGGTGGTTGAATGCACAAGGAATGGATGGTCACGTTCACCAAAATGTGTCGGTAAGCAGAACTGACATGCATTACTATGATTACAGAAGGGCTGATCTTCAATGCAGAAATTTATTTTTTAACATTATTTTACATGAATTTACAATTTTCTGCCTAAGGGACATATCTCACCCATGACATTTTAGCAGAATTTGCACATACCGTATCTAAGGTGCCTACTTAGTTGTGACAAGATACTGGGCAGACATGATAGGAGGAAGTCCTGTTTCAAAACCAAGTTGAAGAATGAATATAACAAGTTGCTGAATCTATTTGCAATCTTCCAAATAAATGCAAGTGTACTAAAAATACTTTTAATCAAGATGGCTAATTTCACAGTATCTTTTAGTGTAAATGTTAACTGCCAGCTTTAAATTAGTGAGGACTCATTAGGAGATATTCCTGCTTTATAAAATGATCTGACAGGCTATATATATTTTAAAAATAATAATGGTATTTTTTTCTGTGCTAATAGGAAGCAATACCGATAATATGATAAGAGCACAAGCTTTTTAAAAATATGAAATATATTATTTGTTTTCTCTAGAAATTACATGCAACCCTCCTGGAATAGCTAATGGTTCTTTCCAACCTCAAAGAACTATATATCAAGATGGGGATCTAATTCAAATTCAGTGTGACCCTGGATTTAATTTTGAACCACATAATGCAGAAAAGGTGGTTGAATGCACAAGGAATGGATGGTCACGTTCACCAAAATGTGTTGGTAAGCAGAACTGACATGCATTACTATGATTACAGAAGGGCTGATTTTCACTGCAGAAATTTATTTTTTAAGATTATTTTACATGAATTTCCAATTTTCTGCCTAAGGGACGTATCTCACCCAGGACATTTTA